TTTAGTTAATTTAATTTAATTTTTATGGAGTGTTTAGCAAAACTTGCTTTTAAAACAAAATTTCATATTGTTTTAATAGATTTAACTATTTATAACCTTTAAAAGTGATTTAATTGATTAAAAATTAAAAATTAAAAATTAAAAAAAATAAATTTGAAAAAATATTTATTTTTATATAATTTATCTATTATTTTTTATATAATTTATCATTAAATATTAAAAAAAAAACTAACATGGTAATCCATATTACAGTATATATTTCATTATATGGCACTGACAAACCCACGTACCATTCCAACAAATATTCAAACTCTTTCCTGAGACCAAATGGGTCGCCCCAAGGCTTAGTGTTTGAGTGAAGAGGAGGTCAGAGTATCGAGTTTTGTTACTGTTGTAAATTGCATCAATTAGCAGTTTAATGACTATGAGTCTCATTTAAAGGGGTGAAATGTTCACCATTCTGAAAATCTCAATTGTTAACAATTAACTCATACTAACTTTTTAATTATTATTTTTGTAAAAAAAAAAAAAATTCAAACTCTTTGGTGCGCATCTCCACAAAAATATTCAAACCGAACAAATTAACGAAAGAAATATGACGGTACCTGCCCTATGAGTGGGTGAAAGTGATTCTGTTTATCATTCTTTCAAGCAAAATTTAAGAGTTTTTGGGTATATTTCTTTTTTATTTTCTAAAATTTGTAGTCTATTAAAAAAAAAAAAAAAGAACAAACGAAAGAAATATGACAATATCTCTCATATCACCAATACCCAAAAGAAGTACTAGTAGTGCAGTATATTTGATTATGTGGCACTGACAAACCTACGTACCATTCAGGCAAATATTCAAAGTTTCAAACACTTTGGTGCGCATCTCCACCAAAATAATCAAACCTAACAAAGTAACAAAAGAAGTATGACAATCTCTCATATCACCAATACCCAAAAGAAGTACTAGTAGTCATAATTACTTCGACATACCTGCATCATTTCAATTGTATTGCGCTAATTAGTCATTTAGGGTATGTTTGATG